TTCTGTTGAGGTCCTCCTGCAGTGGAGATAGGCTATCTGCTCTACCATGAGAATAATAAATTTTACAATCATCAGCATAAAGATAAATAGTAGAATTTATTACCACTGTGGTGATATCATTTATATATAATAGAAATAGCAATGGCGCAATACAACTGCCTTGGGGAACGCCTGATTTAACAGGTGTCATGTCAGAAAGAGTGTTGTTAACATATACAGCCTGGTAACGATCTTTTATGTAATCTAAAACCCAGTTATAGAGGTCCCCTGTTATGCCATAACTATTAAGAGTGACCAATAATTTGCTATGGGAAACAGTATCAAAAGCCTTAGCCAAATCTAGATACACAACTGATACTATTTTTCCATTGTCAATTGATGCTGACCAATCAGAGAGATTTACCAATATTTATGAAGAAGTAGATTTTTTTTGTACAAAAGCCATGCTGATAAGAAGATATAAAATTATTGGCATCAAGATAAGTAAGCAATTTGTTGCAAATCAACCTTTCAAGTACCTTGCTACCAATACATGTTAAGCTAATAGGTCTGTAATTAGAAGCGTTGTAGGTGCTTCCTTTTTTATGAATGGGAACTATATGGGACAATTTCCAAATTTTGGGATTAAGGCCAGATTTCATTATATCTTTATAAATTAAAAATAGGGGAAGACTCAGAGAGACTGCGCATTTTTTTTTGGGCATTGTGTTCAAAAACAATCATTTTAAATATGTTATAGGTATCAAGGTTACATTCCCTTTAATTGTCAAATATATGACTAGAATGAACTAGAATATGGACATTACTTATCAAAAGATGCACTTCAGTCCAGAGAAAAGTATTTTATGGGCCTTGAGTTGCGTGTCTCGAACGGTCGGATCATAATAATTAACTTCATTACTTTTATTTTTTTGTTTTGATTTTTAATTTTATCCGATTTATTTATATAATTTTTATTATTTTTATGTAAGATAAGATAAAGATAAGATAAAGTTATATAAGATAAAGTTATGTTAGGTTATGTTTCGTAAATATGTTCATATATGTTCATATTATTTGTCATGAATTATAACAATTGTTGAGTCAATACTGTAGAATATGGTGCAGTATTGCAAAACGATGCCAATTGTGCACAGTCGACTCGTTCATCCGAACAAGCAGATGCTGCTGTTGTTCTCGCTAAATTATATTAATATTTTAATTTAAAAAAATCGCATCACGCGAAAAAGAAAATTACTCCTTAATTTGGCTAATTTTTAAATTCATGCTTGTTGCAGAGAAAAAAGTAAATGTTAATTAAAGCAAAAAGAGAAATCTTCTTGTCCTCGAGCTTTCATTTATTGCCTTCACATATCACCGATCACGAAATTATTCACGAGCTCCTTGAATGTTAGATTTGTTATAATATAAGTAATCTTTCATATTCGGGTAATGCTGGCGACAGTACTTCTATCGCCAAGGTACTCGCTGTTATATTTGTCAACAAGTCAGCGGAGCAAGTTTAACCAATAATGGTGAGGATTCTTAGAAAAAAAAATCTTATACAATCGCTTAGCTTATTGGGTAAAGATAAAAACAAAACAAAAAACAAAATTTCAATTAAGATTACTTTAGATTGCTAGGAATTTTTCGGCCAAACCACAAATCTCCTTGGTAATTTCATTTGAAATTCGACAGAGAAATCAGAAGCCTTTTGAAGAATTTCCTATTTGTTCACTAATATTTTCTCACATCGCATTTATTCATAAAATAAAATGTCGAAAAAACTCTTCGCATCCAATTTCAATAAGCAAATTTATACCCAAACAAGTTGTTATGCGGCAAGTTGCCATACAGTTCTGTTTCATGAATTCATTATTACAATTTAAGCCAGCTAATAACAATTGTCCACAGTTCGCTTGACCAGTATCCGGACATTGGCCATTTCTGTGAATATTATATTATGCTTCGAGTAAAATATGTTAAGCCTGAACGAAGAAACATACATACGCAGCTATATTCAATTGTTAAACAGCAAAAGGCACATGACGAGGGGCATAATGCTTCAGCATTCGCCATAAAAGTCGCGTTTCGTTTTGACAGTTGGGATTGACCAAGAAATTGTTTCTTCTGCAATAAACTTCATTATTTTGGTAATTCACATCAGGAAATATAAAGAGTATAGGAAAAAATTCAGAAAAAACATACGCAACTGCATTATTTACCACAGCGCCTGATCGGACAGAGAAAATGGCATTGCAAATAACTGGATTTTTATCTTTGCAAGCTGATGGAGATGGCAGTGGACGAGCGATTGGGACAGTGCTAGGATCAAGACATTTATTTAGCTGGACCCCATCTCCCGACTCACCTCTGCGCACAAGTGCAAGAACTAACAGAAAAAGGAACATCACCGAATGACATGGCTGTCCAAAATCCGTTTTTATATGTTATCCAGAAAAGGCTATAAAGTGGCTTCACCTGTTGATCATAAATTAAACAACTATTTTTGTTCCCCGTTACAGTAATTATTTTTATTTATCATTCACGAATTTTTCTAAAAATTCACCGATTATACACTTTTGTTTGTTCCGTTTTTTTCCCCATTTTTATCGAATCGCCTACGAAATACACTTTTTTATATTTAGTTTCAAACGGGCGACTATTTTTTTCACTTTAAAATTATTTTTAGAAAAGGATTTTGGAATTTCGTAAAGATGATTATCTTATTTTTTTTTAAATATTTTCCCTAATAATTAAGAATAATTATTTGCAAGTAATTATAAAATAGGGTGAAGCACTCAGAAATTTAAGAGCAGCAGATAGGGAAGGCAATTTGTGGGCTAAACTCTTCAACAATCTCTAACGACTCAATAATCGATAAGAGGGTCGATAAGAGAGTTAACGACAAGTCTTTCGTAGAAGCAAAAAATTCATGCCAGTTAGCTGGAAGAAAGTAATCATGCTCCCAGTTTTGGAGGAAGATAGTAAGGTAAAATATAAAAGGTATGATGGCATTAACCAATCAGCCTACTAAATAGCTCTGGTAAGGTTTTGATTTTGCCTTTATCTACTCATAGAGGCGACAGCTCAAACAGTTCTGTCAGGGCTCGAGTGTAATTGAACAGGCATGTTAAAATATTGCAATTTTAATAAATAAATTCTTTGAAGCAAAAATTTTGCTCTTGTTCTAATGATTTTGCAGCTCCAACTAATAGGCAACAATCTTCAGCGTTGGTATAGAATTCGTCGATATTCGAGATGAGGATCCTGGGGACTCGTTGAGGCATTTTTTTCAGTATATTAGTGCAAGCCTAAGAGAACTGTATATACGAGAAGCGCCATCAAAAGATACACATATCAGAACAAGGTAATATCGCTGCTGTTGATACAGTTTTTTGCTGACTTTTAAAGAACTGTAATAGATGATTTATTTGCAACTCAAATGTGTTCCATATATGAATCAGTCAAATCATTTTTTATCTTCCCAGGAATTGATGCAGATATATACATAAATTCATAGCATAGTATTGCTCATCAAAGAGGAACTTTTCAAAATATCCGTTGATCCATTCTTCTGCACAAAGAGCAGAATTTATAGAGCAATAGAAAAGTTTACAACGTGCTTATTTGAAGCTTGAAGTTTTTGCCAATCTTGTCGAACATTTATGGGGTCGCCGTAAAATAAGTTTATCAAATTCGTGTCTACCTAGCTCTGGAAACTCTCAACATTTTAATATATTGACCTAAGCATAACCTAAAATAGTGGGAGATATCGAGAAAATTTACAATGAATGGTGATCTTTGACAGTTTTTGCTATCATGAGCACTTCATGCGATTACACTCGGTCAGCTCGCTTTATAATATTGCTATGAAGCGCTTACGTTAGTTACGTTAGTAAAGAGGGTTTGAATATGAAGATGAAATAAAATGGATTTTTAACATATGCAGTCCATTTACGTATGAGCTATGGTGAAAAAGAAGCATCAGTTACTTTCAAATGACATCAATATTTAGAAATCTCTTAATACCTTTATGGGAGTCAGCCTAATATAGAATAGCTGGAGGCGTTAGAGTAAGAGCGATCGCTATTTTCAATATTCATTATGCAAACTCCGCTGGCTTCAATTAGATTAGATATTTTTGCTAAAGCATTGCGTGGGTATAGAAGTACACCTGGATTTTTTAATGATTCGAGGCAACAAGGCTGGGCTATGATGTGATGATAAGTTATGCAAAGATCGTTCTCCTGTTCTACCCACATTAGAAGAAGATTGATCGGAATTTAATTCTTTTCCTTCTTTTCTCTAATATTATTGCTGACAATAGCATTAAAACATCTTTGAAAACTTTTCAGAAATTTTAAGCGTCGGGAAAAGATCTGAAAATTTCTTTTAAAATTTTTTTCTAATTCTAATAATAATTCTAATAGTGATAATGGATGCTTTTCACGGTGCAATTTTTTTTGTGAAAAATAATTTAAGTTAATGAAAATGTGTTTATTGGGTACGAATCGTATTCTTTTTTTGGTATACTCTCTGTTTCATGCAGTTGAACAAATTTTTCTGAATAACCCGTTTGCTAATGAAAAATAATAGTGGTAGCTTTATTGGTGATTAATTAACGATATATTTAATAATATATTCAAATAACGTTGTGATCACTTGTGGATCTCTTTAACTATGTAATTCTTCTAGATCCTCTTAACTGAAGAAGAAATTTATTGAGACTTATTCATGGACAGCTTTATTTTGGCCCGAGTTGCTACGGTACACGAAGCTGAAATAAATTTTTTTAATATTTTAAATTCTCATTTTTTCTTATTGTTTTATTTCTATAATCTCCAACAAATCTATCCCAGTATTGAACGAATAATTTTTCTTAAATCATATGTACTAATGTAAAATTTATTCAAGTTGGCGTGAATTATTTGGCAGATGACAGATTGCGGGAGGTAATGAGTAAATATTTCATACAATTTAGTCTTCCACTGATAATCGAAACATAAAATCTAGCAATTTGGAAACCTTATCTTCTTTTTTACTATTCTACTGTTAGAATCGAAATTACTTTGATCTTTAAATTAAACTTTGGATAATGTTAGAACTGTTATATGTTAATTTATCGTCACTTTGGAAATTATCTTTCTTATGCAGGAAAGTTATTTACTGAAGCTAAAAGGCTGAAAGCCTCTGTATGGCAGTTACAACATTTTTATTAGACTGTAGACTAAATTTTTTTTAACAATTGAATTTTCAGCATAAACTTTTGCAAATTTTTTCGAAAATTATCGTCACATGTGGAAGCTGCTATTCTTTTATGAGCAATTATTTCAATTCACGAACAACGGATACCGAAAATAAAGAAAAAGCAACTAATATTATTGGAAATACTTGTGGTAATGCATGTATTCAACGTTCAAAGCTATTCGAAGAATAGTTGCTCATTATAATTTAACAATAAATATCGAGCAGCATAATTGGAATGGATTTTGGTGAATCCTTCAAAAAAAATTTTTTTTGAATTAAAATTTATTGAAAAAAATATGAAAATTGAATGTGTTTTAGTAAAAAATATCTTGATAAAGTGGTACTTTACTTCATTTTTTTTTGCATTTTATATTACCAAATTTACGATTGACTGAGCGTGTTTTTTCAATTAAAAATATCTCTTGAAAATTGTGGCCTTTTTCTTATTATAGAAAGAAAAGATTCTGGAATAAGTACACACATTTTTTAAGGAGTTAAAGAAGTTATTCAAAGATAAACTGGCGCTGGCTATATTAACAGATTGTTGTTTTACTGTTGTTTATGGACGATTTATTCAAACATTTGGATTTACTTTTATCTTATTCTCTCATCGAGGAAAAAAGTCGAACTTCTGAAGAATGAAGCTCTTTAAAGAGTACAAATTCTTAAAATAACGATTCCAATATGAAAGCTAAGGCTAATTTGGTTCATGCGTATTCCTTTAGGCGCTCTCAGACAAATTTTCCTACCAATTGCGCATTGCAGAAAGGTTCAGATGAAAATTATTTAAAAATTAGTACTCTGGTACCGTGGAATTTTATAGAAATTTAATTGCTCAATTTAAATTTAATTGCAACCACTCAACATTTGAAGCTTATTTGCAAGAAATATTATTGATTACAAATCTTTAAAAATATTTTAAGTAGTTCCATAAAATATTAAAGGAGTTATTGCGCACAATAATTCATTACGAGATAGCCTTTTTACAAAGTAAAAGACATAACAGTATTACTGACGAACCATTTATTTCCTTTTCTTCTTAATTTATAAGAAAAGTTATCAAATTCAAAATGATTATTTCTTATCAAATATATGGTTTAAGTTCAAATATGCTAGAATTTAGAGATTTACAAATACTGTTTTCATAGCATTCGATTCATGTAAAAACGAATATTACGGAAAAAATTGAAAATTATGATAAAGCCAAAGAAATTCTTCATTTTGTCTCAGATCATTTTAATTTTTATTCGTCTTTGAAGAGAAAAATTGGCGATGAACTAGAAAATTTCAACTTTTTATTTCTATTTACAAATTCGTTAAACAATTCTTTGATGAATTATTTTGTACAGGCTAAATAATAATCAACTAATTGGTATTGGGAAAGCAGTGATAGCAATATATGAGTAGTGTTTTTCCGACTGACGAGTCCTTTACGGAACAGTCGCGAAATTAGATGAAAATCCGCGTCCATATAGCTAAATTGGCTCGATTTTGCTATATGGCTGAAACATGGTCAATGATAGTGGAAGATATTAAGAAACTGAATCCTATCATTCTTTGACCACTCATGTCTAAGGTATACGGGTCCGTCGAGTGGATAAAATATCGCATGATTGCATCCACCTTCGTTCAAATTTCAATTACATTAATAGTGGTAATAATCACAGAGAGTCGCCTTAGCTGGTTAGGGCACATTCTCCACCACAAGATTTGTCGCATATTTCGTTATTTGCTAAAATGTGTGATGGATAGCTTCAAAAGCGAGGTGGGCCAATCAAGATCTGGACTGATACGGTCAGGAGAGATTTTGAATGTAGGGGGACCAGCATATATAACAATGGAAAAAATGAATGGCTTCTATTAGTACTAGCGATGGCGTCGAAGCATCATGGAGACTTCTTATCCTTGTAGCTAGCGGAGCCAGCCTATCTCTTAACCAGTAATGATGAGAGCTGATTAGAAAAAAAAGAAATTTGGGTAAAAATTTGGCCATTTCGTTCCCCTATGAAGTTATGAAGAAATATTCGATTTTCAAATTTCTTATTTTCACTCTTTTTTTCCTTCTTTTGCAACTTTTAACGATTGTTTTTAGCTTTCTTATATAAATTGCACATAAAACATGTGAAGTTTAAGTTAAGTTTGGCCAAAAAAAGCAATGAAGCTAGATTGAAGATTGAAGAGAACACCATAAAGCTTGTTAGGTTATTAGTTTTCTAAATTAGACTATGAATTTTAATCATATCATCTCATCGAAATGAAAAAACAACCTAGTATATCGTAGTTTGCAACTAAATATTTCATTCAGTCAAAAGATATTTTTGAAAAAGAAAATGATTAAAGTCGAATTTAGCAAAGCAAACTGTAAATACAGCAGAAAAAGACAAACATCATCAAAAATATAGAAATGAAATTATTATAAAAATTTATTCATATTTTTGGCACATTGAAATTCACGGCTCCCAGCCTATTATTTTGCAGCGCAGGATTCCGATTTATCTAAGATACAAATAAGTTTAACTAAAAATTACATCATTTGAAAAGGATGAGAGGGTGAAAAACAAATTTGGCCTCAAAAGTTATATAAAAGATTTGGAATTATCGATATACAATCTTTAATGAACATTTTAAAATGTGTTTGCTAGTAGGGCAGAACCATTTTTTGGGGAATCATTTGGGCAATAGAAGAATTAAAAAATACTGATCTCCACCATACCTTAGTTTTTATTCTACTCAGTTTGTGGTGGGCTGGCAAGCAGGATTACTGGAATTCACCTCCAGAATGCCAGATGTTTTCCCGCATATCATTTTGGCAGAAACGCGCCATATGAGCGCTAAAAATTCAATTTTTATAAACCAATTTTGAAAATTGGTTTCATTTGCATTTCATTCTTTATTTTCTTCAGATTTCAATTTCTATCGCTCATACGAAAATGAATTTAAGGTTAAGGTCAATCATAAGTTTTCATTCTAAATCTCCCTCTTTCTCTTTGTAGCGATATTTTTACAATTTCATCATGACCTTTCAAGTAAGCATAAGTATATAAATAAGAATCTTCATTGCTAGTACATTAGTAGTACTTCCAATCTGCTCCCACTGAGAGGTTGTGTGGCCTTTCGGTCTTCATTGCTTTGGTTTTAGATCAAGTTATGTGACATTGAATGTCAATAACTTCGATTCAGAGAAACTATTCTTGTTTTTGAAACTTTGTTTTTATAATCTTCAACATAACAATGTTAATATTTGTTTAATTAAATAGCCTCCTTTTTTCCTTTTCTTTTAAATTTTTCAGTTGTTAGTGTTTCGTTAATAGATTCATTAGTGATCTTTTGCAATAGCTATTTAGGCTGTGAATTTTTTTCGAAGAGTGCTTATTGCTTCTGGTTGGGCTTGGTTTCTCAGATGGAAGTGCAGGAAAGAAAGCTTTTTGAAAGAACGGTTTGATTGCGGGAATACTAGGCTTTGTAGGTCGTAAATGCAACTGTTTTTGTAAGAATTTCGGAATCTCCAATCTTCAAAATTTTTCGAACAATTCAGTATAATGCTGGCAAGAAATTTGATACAGGAGGGTAGATCTGACCTTGATTTTTGCTAAGAACTAGCGCGAAACGTTATATGAATGAAATGGCAATGGGTCACTACAACAGGCGTTGTGAAGGCTCATACTTTTAGATAATACTTGTCATAATGTTGAGCTGGAAGATCATTTAATTATTTTTCATCATTTAAATAGCCCATGGTCACCACTATGTAATCAAGAATAGGAAGTCCATTAAAAATCGTAATATTAATGTCCATATTCTTGTGATTTTTGATATCTTTATATTAGCTGAAACTGGCCATTTTCTCGTAAGAGTTTCTTTCTGTTCCTTATTTACCTTAGAGTCCTAATTGCAATGGTTATTCTCGAGTAAATTTAAACTTCCCTATTGTATGATACGAAATGTACGAAAGTTAATACGATACTAAGATAACAGTTTTTGTAAAAATCTAATGTGATGGTGCCGATTAATCGTCCGTGTTCCTTCACCTTTCTTCCATCTAGTTGCCTTTATTGTGGGAAAAACGATTAGTTCGATACTTCAGTAGGTATTTAAAATAAATTCTATGATAAATAAAAAATAAATTTGTTAGGAATATTAGAGATGATAAATCGAGTCGAAATGTCGAAATGCACCTTTTGGAGAATGCTGGTGGATCGTTTATCATCTACATCTCTGCTTCCTATCAAGTTGCTCCTTTTCGTCCTCTAGTTTCATAATCAGTGGAGCCTGATAAACATAAATAGTATCTTTTAAATGTCACCATTGGAAACGGCGATTCTTAAGGCAACACTTTAATAATTGTAGTAGTTCATTTGCAAAAGTTTATTTCTACAAATTCGTTCCATGATTGAATTTTTAACAGAAATTGAGGTGGTGATTATAAAAACCAAGAACATCGTTTAGTTTCCTTTTGTCAGAATAATGAAGAAAACGGTTGGTGCAGATAATTTCACAGATAGATATATTTAAATTTTACGGATAACAATTGCTAATGATTGATAGCCCGTTCACTTCATAAATTTGTGTTTTAAGAAAGCGAAAATAGCACAAAAAATTCAGATAATAGTTGAATTTTATAAAAAAGAATTTCGATCGTAAGTTTTTTCAGTTACTATTTAGGTATTTAATTGATTTACATCTCGGTAGTACTGACGAGAATTGCAGAAAAACAATGGAAACAAAAAATGATGCAGTATTAAGTAGAGAACAACGGTCGATATCAAAACGTGAACAACTGGAAGCCGATTCAGCAACAGTTTGATTTTTTATAAGATTACAACAAACCTTGTTTTTGCCCTTCTGATAACGTTTCTGGTTGGCTCAATTGGCTACTGGAATAGGGGATAGAATGGCTCAGTGGACTGTCGCTCAGTTGGGAGAGCCGATTCTGATGTTCGATTCCCCGCAGGACTTGTATAAAAATCTAGGTGATGCTGGCTACTCACCTGTATTTCTATCGCCAAGGGACTCCCTACCTTATTGTCCGATGCGACAAGCCAGTGGAGCGAGTCTAACCAGCAATGGTGATGAACTCTTTAAAAAAAAATGGGCTACTGGAATGCAACCCTTTTGCCAGGGAGCCATTTGGAAATTGAGGTTCAAATAGATTCCCACCACCTCGCTGTGATATATTTAATTAATAGTTACGAAATTCTTTTATTTACCGCATTCATTTACAGAATTCATCGTTCACGCAGACGAAGCCTTCATTGGAGCATTTTATGGAAGAACGAAGTGCTTGTAGAGCGACCGAACAAGCCGAGCCAGTTGAAAGTGAAATCGACGAATGCGAAGATGAAATCAATTCGCAGCAAGAACCAAATGAAGATATAATTAATATTCCTGATTTTAAATTATACAGGGCATCCTTGTGGAAAAGGCTCAGAGGGGATGTCTCCGAAGGATCAGACGATGGTGATGACCAAAAGAAATGGTCTGGTGTGCACCAGCAACAACCCAGTTCACGTGACCATCGATTTTTAAATGATATCACTTTGGCACTAAAGAGACTAAAATTCCAATCTCGGCAAATAAGAAGGAGTTGTAAGTATGTTTAGCTTAAGGCTAATTTTCAAATTATCATTAAGCTATAATGCGTAGGGTGTTTGGTATATATTAAAATGCAAACCTGGAAATTTAAAATGCTTCTTCGTCTTAAAAATTTATCTTTTCAAAGTACAGAGGAAAAAATACTTAATGCTTCTTAAATATAGGAAGCAATCTATGAGATGAGAAAACGAATTTCTGGAAGAAAATGACTCAGGTAAACAAAAGGTGAAAGTTAAAATGATGCCGGAAATTCTTTAAATAATGAGAGAAAATACCCCTATAAAAAATCAAGGAGAATTTCTATCAGCGGAGATGAATTTAATGTAACTTTAAGCATACAACGCTGGACCTTTTTTATGCATTTGAACTCTTGACTGTGATTGTTGAATGGCGCATTCCAGACATTTGATTGCCCTTTTTCAAGCCACATTTGGTACTTTATATTTTCATGATTTCTTCAAATTTATATGCTACGCTTATAGAAATAGAAAATATTTCCTTGATTTCGGTTTTTTATGTGCTTTGCTGTGATATTTTTGTCAATAAAAATTTCCTTTAAACTTAAGTTGTTTCCCAGGAATAATTTTGTGAAAAAGTTATATATATGTAGGAAACATAATCGATTTAAAAAAAGATTATGCTAATGATGGTGAAAAAAGTTGGTAGTGGACCCTGGTGATAGAAATACAGGTGAATTGTCACCCGAATTTTTGAATTGACTTAATTCTGCGGGAAGCAGAATCAAATTCAGCGATAAGACACTTTAAAAGTTTTTCCAGTGGTGGAGAAGAGAAAAGATAAAATCTTCAATGAAGCCGGCGAAACTTAATTTTTTTAAAACTCTATTGAGTCCTTGTCCTTCTTAGATGTTCTCCGTGTGAACTTCTGACTTGTTTTAAACCTTTCGCCTAATTTTCGAGCTTAGATTGTTTATAATTGTGATAAAAGGAACTACCGTATGGTATGGTCAAAAAATATGCATTAAATCATTCAAACAATTTTTTCCGAGCGAAATTAGCGGAAATATTCAATGGAATATATTTTTCATATGCTTTTCTTTATCCAGGTTTTGCTAGGTCAGCAATTAAGGTTCCAACCTTTATCAGACGATCCTAAAACGTGGGATATCTTTCTTATAAGAGTACTCGTCATTTCTGGTTCATCTGAAACCAATGACCGCGATATAGATGATTCTTTTTGCGAGAGGATCACTCGGGGACTAAGTGCAGATCCGTCTTAACACCACTCGGTATTCAGTTTCAATGACATATTAGCTCTCCTTAAAATATCTTAATCGAGTCCAAGTCAAATTGAATAAACCAGTCGATAAATCTAAACTTTAAACTTGCAACTTGCTCGTATCTAGTCAAAGCCGATTCGATTACAACCTGAAAACTCTGCCATGCTATATATATAATGTTATTTTACCATATTAATGCAATTTTATGATGCTTGAAGCAGGTTAAAACAATCATGAATTAATCTTATACAGTTAAGGTTGTTCTAGACGATTGTTTTACAAATTTTTTAAACACAACGTTTTGTGCCAACTGTTTTGGAAGTTGATTTCGCCACCGATTTAAAGAATTCACATTCAATTGTTTCCACTGGGCTCTCTTAAAAGTTATTGTTTTGGCTCAAGTAAGTACGGAGTCCCGCCAAACATTCGGCCAGGCTTGTCACGACAAAAATATTTCGATTAGGTATCGCCATTTGGTCACGTATGAAGAAACGAAGAGTTGACCTTTCAGAATAAAAATTACATGATTACATATCGCTTATATCCCATTTATTTATCGTTAAACGTTGATGATGACACTATGACAATGTTATCAAAATAAGAATACAATTGTTTCATTACCCTTGTAACATAGATTTTTATCATATATTTACTTAATGCTCCTTCATTAAAAACGATTGGTTATTATAATATTTCTTGTGTTTTTAGGTTAAGTGGCTTTATTGTGTCGACGTGCATTCACGCGCTTATCAATTACTTTGACCGAGGCTGAAATATTTTTGAGATTTAACAGAAATCGTAAGCTGTGTAGCTTATCATATGGATACTTTGCCAAAATTAAATAAGATCGAAAAACTGAATACAAAAATCTCAAAATTAAATGAAATACTGTCGAATTGGATTGATAAACTGTCTGCAATAAAATGACATATTCACACTCTAACATACGTTTTATCATTTTAAAAGTTATTATTCTCATCATCTAACATTATTTATCATTTCTGATTAATTTGATCATGCAGACTGCTGGAATGAAATCATTTCGCGAGACTATCGCTTGGATATAGGAACAGTGTGAACTCCCAGCACCATCAGTAATTAAACTTCGCATAAACCGTTTATTTCCTTAAAGGGAATACTTAGTCTAAGCAAAATACCATTCGATCACCTCTAATAGAATATTTTTTATTGCGATAAATCCACAAATTTTTATGCAATAAGAATAAATACGATAAATTTAAAAATTATTTCGTATTTTTTTTCTGCTGTTAATCGATTAACCAATAAATCTTATGCGACGATATATCTAAGGAGAAATTTTTGCTTTTCATGTGCATTGCTTTTGTGTTTAATCGCTTTTTTAGTTATATAATTAATGAAAATCCTATAATTATAATTAACTTCCATTAAATCTTAACTTTATTGCTTTTTTATTGCTCGTTTATTGTGAATAATGAACAAAGATAACGTGTGTCTCGAATTGAGGATTTTATCTCTCTGTTATTCTTTCATTGTGGAGATTTATTTTATTACAAATATTATTTATTCATTAACCGAGTCTGAAGAAAAAGTTAGAAGAAATAGAAATAGGAAACTCTGAGAGTTGCGAGAAGGTGACGCATGGGCGAATTCTGAAAAACTTCGTTCGTCGCAATCGAGATTCGGTTTCCATTTTCCGGTCGTTCACCATTCCATATGATCTTTATTATTATTCATTTCATTTGAACGCCCATTTCTATTACCGCTAGCAAATTTCAATAAAGGTCAATTCTTATCGTGCATTGCCTTATTCTTAATATCTAAGCAAACCATTTCCAGCAGGAATGGGGTCAAAACTTCGGAAACGATTTTTATTCCTATAAAGAAAGATTATCAACAGTTCGTTTTATCTTCATGTGTTCCAGGGAGGTTTAGTTTGTTTTCGATTCTTCGCCTTTGGCATTTTTCGACATTAAGCAAGAAGAAAATAATATGAGAATTGAAGAACACACTTTTTTGGCTGCTATTAGTTCGCCATTTCTATTTGGACTCGTTCCGCCATTTGCTATTACGGTAAGAAATTTGGAATCATTTCTCGAATGAGTATAGATGGGCCACCGGCATCGCTCTATTTTTTACAGTTCCTGTCAGGAGTGGGAGCAGAACCCATTCTTCTCATCTGAGCCATTTACCCGCTATCTATCCTTCTTTCCTTTCTACATTTTTTTAAATGTGCATGTGCAAATTACTTTTTCTTATTTATTTATTGCAACACTCATTATTTCCAATTTGGATAATTCCACTTATTAAGGAATATAAATGGAACTCTTTCATTGCAAAGAATAAGTATTTGTAAAAGTGTAGGTCGATCCGAAGCGCCACTTAGCTTCCACTTTTATTAACGGGTTTATTTCTGATTAGGACGACAAATCTGGCCTATCATTGGGTCGTAACAGTGTGCCACTTGGCTATCTCACCTCCCTCCCCCCCCCCCCCCCCCCCCCTATAAATGCCATTTTTCCGAATAATCTTTTTCAAGAAATATTAATGAAAACATAATATTATTAGATTTAATGATTGCTTTTTGTCAGTTTTTTGGTCCACTTCATTTAATTTTTTAGTAAATTATTCAGCTGTTTGACTTTAGCCTTTCAAGCGTTTAATTCACAAGTGATTTTCGTGTAACCCAGAATTTTTACCAATTTTTTTTCGCGAAATCGATGTTTGTCAGCAAAAAATTGGTGCAGAAGGAGACATTTGACCTTTTCATAGAAATTGGCAAAAATGGCGCGAAATGTTTCGTTAGTGAAATGGAGAAATGGGTCATTGTAATAAACATTCTTCAGTTGATTTAGCTCATCGTTTTAGTTAATAAGATCATTCTTATCTCTGAATTAACATTGTTAGCTAAAGGAAATCCTTCATCATTATTCCTTTGCATTGCTATAAATAGGCTTCCTTCTGCCAATAATTATATAAACGATAGTTTCAGTGAGCGAAAATTATTAGATGGTTGCGATAACTGAGCGCTATTTGACCCTTAGCGCGGCCTCGTAACGCATTTGCTGCGAATCTTGTGATTTTCTATTGTTGATGCATAAATTAGATGATGAGAACTATGAGAAAAATAAGCTATAAAGCGCTAGAAATCTTGCGGATTTATGGGCTTTATGCTGATAATTGATAACGACTTGCATATCCCTTTATGTAATTCATCGTTTACTGTTATCAATCACTTATAAGATATAATTGGCAGAAGATTATCCTTTTTATTCCCTTAAAATTTAGAGTTTTTCTACTATCACAGCTCTGCTCGAATAGTTTTCGTTACGAATTACGATGGATTTTCATTAAATTTTATTCGCTTCATTTCTTTTTTCTTCCGTTCAATTGTTTAAAACGATTTGTTTAATCTAAACAATCTGATAAGCATGGCAATTTCACTGGCTTTAATTTTAATTATTTCAATTTCTTATTTATAAAAATAATATTTACTTTATATTTTTTAATTTGTGGTTTTTTTGAAAAGAAGGCAAATCTGAGGAGATATATAATTGTAATTATAAAATTACTGATTACACTAATTATTGTTAAAAAGATGGCTTCGATTATTCGATGTGCCGTATAAATCTTCATTCGTCTAATTAATTAGTCGTTCTACGCAAATTTTCTCGCAAACTTTGCTTTTATTCATTTTTGTTTTGAACTTAATAAACGGCCGTTTTTAGATATTTGCAATGGATTTGCAACTAATTTCTTCTACTAGTGAGGATTGCACTAAAACAGTGGAAACGAATGATAATGCAATTTTATACGGAAAACGTGAACAATCTGCAGGAGATTCAACAATGGTTTGATTTTTTATTATTTAGCTTTAAAGTGCCCATTGGAGTGAATATTTACTGGGCTAAAATAACGGTTTACAGTAGAAATTTATGAGCTTTATGTTGATAATTGATAACATCTTGCATTTTCATCATTTTTTGTTAGTTATTTCGGTATGACAACAGCTCTCACTGACTTCACTAAGATGTTTCCAAGCTGCGCGACGATTTGTTGCCATCGTCGACGCCAATAAAAGCCACACTCTTTTGTATCTCTATGTCCATATATTGCTGGTCCACTCATAGTTCAAAATCTTTCCTGGCCGTATCAGTCCGAGTCTTGATTGGCCCACCTCGCCTTTGACGCCATCCGGCAAAGTTTAGCAAGTAACGAAATATATGCCGATTCCTGTGGTGTGCGACGATGAACGTAGATCCTTTTACCGTAGAGAACGTGAGAATAGAAATGCCGATGGGCAACATCCAGGAGTATAATATATTTTCAGCCGCGAATTTTTTTATTTGAGCAGTTATTTATAGATATTAATGTCAAAAGAAGAGCAACCTCATATGATGGCATTTTTTGTTTGTGGATTTTCTACGGTCGATGAGGATTTACCTAAGAATAAAACAATAAAAAAGTCAGCATCTGCTGATGAAAATAGTTTGCGTGGGTTATTCAGACCACTTCCTTCAAAAAGAAAGAAGACAATACTCGAATCAAAATCGTATGATGAAAGGAGTGTTATCAGCAGTCAGGAAACTGAATCGGCCGATGGAATCGGAATTAAGACTGATTCGAATATACCTCCGGGTTTCTGGATAAGTCCAACGAATAACAAATTGCCGAAAAAGCCAGAATTAGGTGATGGAGATAGAAATCGAATTGATAGAGATGGAACATTCATAAAATCGGATGCTTCATCCGGAAGCTTAAAAAATAATGAACGATCAACATCAGACGACAAAACTGAAGATGGTGAAGAAAATTTCGAGTATAATCATAATGGTCATGTAGTGCCAGAACAGTTAGAACCAGAAGAAGAGAAAGAAATTGAAGGTAATTCGCAACAAGACTTAAACGGCTATGATGCATCGGAACAACCAGGATCGGGTGATGGAAATGAAATTTTCGAAGGCAATTCGATGTGGGATCGAAGTGATAAAGTCCCATCGGACAATACGGATGAAAGCGGTGAAAGCAATTTAAAGAAAGATTTAAATGACCATAACGCATCCGAACGACCGGGATCCAGCGAAAAAAGTGACGAGGATGATTGGTCCAACATGCGCACGCCGCCACCCAGTTCACGAAATCATCCTTTTTTGGCTTACATCACTTGGGCGCCAAAGTTGGAGAAATCAACGATACACCTCGTACGACGATAGGACCACAGTGATGATGAAATATGATTTAGATAATCTGTGGGAAAAGTAAACTTATCTTTTATTCGGAATTATTCGATTTAGCTGTTGTATACCAAATATATATGATTTGTTTAAATTTACAAGAGAGTTGTTTCGATTTTTAGCTCATTTTGTTAAGCTCTCATTCACTGTACTGTAATAATTTTTGTAGTAAATGCTTGATTGTCGTTAAATGTTAGTTACAATAAATAAAAAGAGGATCGGCATTATATTTGATCTGACGTCAATCATTTACGAACAACAAACAAATAGAAACAATAAAGGCAATAAGCATAACAAGGTGTTAAGAACAAAGAAATTTTAAATAGCATTGAAATTCACTACTCTCAATCTAATACAAATGTTTTGCAGCGGACACCAATTTATCTAAACTAAAAATAAGGAAATGAAAACGGAATTTAACCCAGAAAAGACGCAACTTCATACCAGAAGTGATATTTCAACTTATAATAGTTCATTTTTAGGAAAAATAGTAGTTACATATTTGACTACCAATTAAGCAACATAAACACCAAGCCGGAAGGAAAGCGAAATTTTATTGACAAAGTGGCAACTTCCAGTGAAAACTGTTGTGTGTAGTATGCAAAACACTGCAAAACGAATAGTGGAATGAGAACAAATACAGTTAAGATACAAAAGTAGCGACTAAATCAATATCTTTGCTTACGCTGGTGTATGCCAATTGTAAAATATCATCCAAACATAGAGGAAGCTCCAAACAATCATCCGATTCAAATTTATTAATGATTTCAAACACAAAACGGGATATAACCGCAACACTTAGCCTGGAAATTATTAAGAATAATAAAGCTGAGTTTTCAAGCACATCAAAATACAAAATAATATAAAATATAGTACAAACAAATATGATCAGCTTTCTACATGTTGCGCTGATAAGATGTTGCCCATCTCTCAACTCCATTTGCAGCACCGATATTTCCTATTCCTGACAGGAAAACCTATCTTTCAAAAACTTTGGTGTTGCTGACAATTCGCTTGTAGACAAGGCAAAAATTTTCTAGTATGACAAGCTAGCGGAGTTTGAGGAAAAAATACCACAATGCATAGGTAAAAGTCATTATGTCCAATAATTTTACAACAATTCTTATCACACTGGACCATAAATTTTCAAATGAATAAAATTAAATTCAAATAAAGTTAAATTTAAAAAAATTTAAAAAACACCTTTGTAAATATGATTTAACCTCTAATGTTTTCAGCCGAAGGGCGACGGAATGAGCAAGCTCCAAGAGGTGTTCTAACTGCAATTTTAACAAATTTAACTGCACGAGGAAAGCACGAAGAAATTTTATTTTATTGTAAATATTTATCATGAACCGTAAAAAAATTTTTTTTTTGTAGCGTGGTTTATAGCGCAAAGAAGGCACTTATTTGGAATGAAAAAACACGGCCTGAATCACAGACAAGTCTCTCCATCTTTCCAGTGGAGCCCTCGGGCAAGACCATCTAAGAGCTACCTGCCCTACCTCAAATATGAGAGTACTGTATGCTGGAGTCGCGCCGGTTCAGATATCGACCGATTAAATAGATCTGCATTAGACGTTGACCAGAACTATCTTAAGTTAAAAATAAGCTATTGGAACTGCGCCTGGAACCAGGGAGTTAAAACGGCTAATGGAAGAAATCTCACGTAGACGAGACCGGATAATATGGAATTGATGGAATGGCACTATAATAATCGACCTAATGAAAGGGATTATATGAAATGTCTTAAGGAACTGTAGATGGAAAAAAAAGATCTACGTTTTCATTAAAAGAAAAATAGTTAGTGGCTCAATACTTCAACAAAAGTAAGAAGAAACTGCTTTTTCAGTTGGAGATGGATCGATTCTACATTCCATACCAGAATGTTCAGAAGGAAGAGAAAAGAAGAGATTTGCAAGATTTAGGAAATCTGGAAATATCTCCATAGTGAAGTAGAATAGTTAACATGAGGCAGAAAACCAAAAATAAAATAAATAATGAATAAAAACTCAACTCAAACTCAAAAATATGAAAAGTTGAACAGCACATGGTCTGGATATGATTTATACTTACTGGCCAAAGAAGCTAACAACTTCTTCGTGAGCGCCTAGCAACAGAGAACCAGCTGCTTGTGGTAGGTTTTCCAGACTGTTTAAGATAAAGAAAGACGGTATTGATCATGAAAGACCCTTGTAAGGGAAAAGCACCATCTAACTACTGGGCCGATAACTTGACTCTCCACAAAGCCCTATTAGGCATCATAGCCATCAAGCTTCAAGACCATATAAGCATGAGCACAGTTCAGAAAGAAGATACTAGAAACAATATATAGGAAAAGCCTACGAGTTAATGCCCCACACATTTGGATCTGGGAATGTCTGACTCTATATAAAATCAACAGGATCCTAAAGACGTTGAGAACTCACTGAGAACTCAATGGGGGTGTCGATATTTGAAATGAACTCGAAATGTGTGAATGGCTATCAAATTCAGCATGCATTGTTTTCCCTATTGCTCTGCATAGGTCTGAATCGCTTCAATTAGATAATCACCAGAAGCGAATATGGATAGAAATTCAAGACCGTAATTACCAACCCACATTTTCTTTACATGGATGAGAACGAGACACTGATTCTTCTATCCTATGCATCTAACATGGATTTATAACTTTGGGATATCATTCGGTTTAGAGAAATGTCGATGGATGGTACCAAAAAGAGGAAAAATAGTAATGACTGGTGGGCTGGATCTCTCAGCAGGACATATAGCGGATACTCAAACTAGCTACAAGTAAATGACAACATCTAAATGCCATCAAAGAATAAGACAAATCTTGAACAGCCAATTCAGTGGGGAAAATAAGATCCATGCCATAAATATATGGCCTTGCCAGTCATCAAGTACGGAGCTGGCATAGTAAAATAAAGAAAGGAAAGTTAGTTGTAAGATAGTTCTCATCGGAACGCCGTCACAAAGACTTCGTTAATTGTGGCATATTCTTCGCCGCCCACCAAAAAAGTTATTATGACAGATATTTCGTTACTCGGTAAACTTTATGATGGATGGCGTCAAAAGCGAGTTGGGCCAACGAAAATCTAGACTGATACTGTGAGGAAAGATTTTGAACGCATGGGTAGACACATCTTTGCAGCTAATAGATGCAACCCAGTAATGGAGAGCCAATAGAAAAAAAAAGGCAAAGAGCTTGTGGGACTTGTCCATTCGGATAAGCAAACAAATGTTGGCCATACAATCAGATATCGTTATAGTAGAACCAAAATTACTTGTGATAAATAAAGCATACCAAGTGACAGGAACGTTGGGAACAAAGAATATGAGAATATAATAATATAAAAATAGAAACATCGGAAGCAGAAAGAACTAGAGAAGATGTGGAAGTTGAAGCCAAAGTTCCAGCTAACAATTGGAACACTAGGAACTGTGATCCCCAAAATTAAAAAAATACCTCCAGGAACAACCAGAAATCTATATTTAGAAGAGCAATTGTAGGAACAATAAGATATTGCCCAGAACTCTTAATCTTCCAGGCCCCTGGTAAAAGATTCGAAGTTAAATATCATTATATCCACAGGAGGTGAAAAAGGGATTTTTTAAAAATATATTCTTGAATCGGCAAAAAAGTGCATATAAGAAAAAATACATAAAAAATACTTGAGAATCATCGTCAATTTCGTGTACTCCTTTTTTCAAATAGTAAAAATCTATATAAATTTGACCTCGAGGCGCCCAACCAACAATTCTGTCAGCTTTTTCATCAAATAATTTTTCCATTTCAGCAAGAAGTTCGTAATTATCTGCAAATTACATGAAAATAATGAAAATTTCGTTCTATTTGACATATTTAATTTATATTCATTAAATATAAAAAGTTTAAGCAAATTGTTTCACAATCTCTTAACAAAACCCAATTCCCTTTGTAATTTAAAAAACAATAACAATATTATATGAAGGCAAAAAAAGAAAAAAATATCAAGAATATTTGACTATTCATAGACTTTAAATTTTAAAAAATTTCTCATTTTGGCATCAAAATGCCAACCGAATGCGACAGCCTTAGGAGCAATCTTTTCGAAGAATAAAGAGTGAGCCTCACTGAACATATCACTCTCAAGGGCAAATCTGCACATATTTTTTTCATCATTGATAAGCTTAGCATGCATATACCTGAAGTATAATCATGAAATATCAGAAAACATGAGTGATTATAAATTAAAATAATCGTTAAAATAATTTATTATTCCGTTGAGACAACATAGTAATGGAATTATTAAAAGAAAAATAAAATAAAAAATAGAAAAAATAAAAAAAATTTAATTCTACATTAAATCATAATAAAAAACTTTTCTTACTTGGATATGGCAATTGTGCTTCTAGGTAGATGACAAGTGTTTGATAAATTTAAACAAATGTCTTCATCTAACTTTACAGCGACACGATATAACATTTCTGTGACAGCAATATATCGACTAAAAAAATAAGAATGAGAACTTGAACATGAATAAAAATACGATAAAATAAGCCTTTCACTGACATAATTTTTCATCGAAATATGAACAAAATCACCTCTTAGGATCCGAAATATGCATTAGAACGAATATTGAAAGATGTTCATAACCCAAAAGTGCCAATTGTTCTGCATATTGTAGATGAATCGCACAATCAACTCCTTCAAACATATGGTGGTAACCAAGAGAATGTAGAACACTCCAAAGATGCCAGCTAAGACGAAAAAATTTGATTTAATTCGATAATTTCTATGGCAATTATTGCAACTTTCAAATAGTAAAAGTAATACGCAAAACAGTATGTAAAACTAACACAAAGATAGTAAAAAGTAAATGATAATCGGGGCATAACTTCAAAGAAACCTAATATGATAATCAAATGGATGTGCTGGTACATTGCACGGTTCTAGAATCGATTCAAGTGGATACGACTGATCACAAGCCAGCTTAATAAGTTCAAGATAAACAGATGGTTCAAATTTTTCGTGACGTCGTTCCATATCAAGTTTAAAAGCCTCAAATACTTCAGAGAGTGGAGCGTCGAAAGGCTGATAATACCACAAGAAAACTCCAAGAGACTAGAATAGAAATTCATAATGGAAATTCAAGATAATGAGCTCAAAATACGAAAAAATATTCAAAAAAATAAAGAATGATGGTCGAGTAACGTCTAGCTTTCACTTTTAAGAAGTTCAAATACTATGGGTTCTATAGAGATCTTGATGGCAACAAATATCTTATTACGGATGAAATCTAAATCATATATGAAACAATGAGGTACCATACATAAGTTAGTGCAATCAGCCAATTAGGAAATGCATGTGAGAAAATTACTATAGATATGAAGTTTTGAAGTTTTCAAATCTACGCTTTATTCAGTACTAAAAAAAAGCAATCTGTTACTGTTATCCAATCCATTCCTTCATTAACGAACAATGCTTGACCGTTAATTTCTTTTTCAAATTCACCAGCCATAATTAAATGAATTTTCAGTAAATTTATATCGATAAAATTTATTTCTCCATTTTTCATCCAAAATGCGATCTAAAGAAAAAATAAATTAAAGCAACTAAAAATAGTAAATATAAATAGAAATTCAAATAAATGCTTCATAGCTTGATCAAACGCTATATTAAATCTATTTCAAAAAAAACAACTAAAACTCTCTTCCATGAAATTCAGTCGTTTCTTTTACTTATCTCTCACTGTTGGTATTTTGTACTAATATTTATAAAAAAACTGATAATTACCAAGAAATCACAATCGGAAATAGAATTTTTGAGAGTAAAACAACAATAAAAAAAAGCAAAAAGCATAAACATAAGGATAAAGTCATCACCTGATCCTGATAGAATGAACGACAACCATGAAAGAATGTCGATAAAGCAAAAGCCAAATTTGGAAAATTGGTAGAAATGGCTTCGTTAATAGCGTCCTTTATATTACCATTCATCAAATGGTGAAGTATTTTTTTTTTAGGTGACGATGAATATTCGTCAGAAGTTCGAACATGATCGGCTATGAAGTTTCGCACCCAAGCACCTACACTGTCTCGACGCTTCATCGATACTGGCCAATGATGGATATCTTCATCTGAAAATTCCAAATAAAAACACAGGAAAATAATCATATTTTCGACGATTTCACAACTGTTACCTTGATCAACTTTTTTATATAACTTTTATAGTAACTTTTTCATGAATTCCCATAAGTAAAAACACTTTAAAGTTCTAAAATAAGTGTACCTTGCTTGAAAACGAATAGTGCTTCACATAACTTCCATATACTTTTTTCTCTTTTTCTATTATGGCTCTTTGATATGCGAATGTAGGACTTAATCAACTCCAAAAAATCCTTAACAATTAAAATGAACATATCACATAAAATCCAACAGGCCAATATGGAATATTAAGCATATATAAACAGAAAAAATTTTTTAGCTACTCTATAATTTCAGCGATATCACTACGCTGAACTGAAATCGAATCGCAAGGCAGTTTAAATGCAAAAATATATCAACGATAAAATATTGACAAAAACTTCGAAAATAAAATGTTTTAAGATTTTCAAAATTTATTTCATTTTTTAAGGAGGGCAAATTCTGTTACTTGGGAACAGAAGTGTGGGCTGGTTTTTTTTGAGAGATAGAGAAAGCCACTATTTTCGTTCATTTTAGAAAATGCAATGCAAAAAAATAGTGGTCGATATATTTATGTCACTTATTAATGTCCTAATATGACCAAGAGATAAGATATTTTAGCTAACTTAGTCATTCTTTTTTGTCACTTAAGGGGAACATCCTTGTCATTAAAAGTGGGATCCGCATGCTCGAGACAAATTCTACTCGCAAGATTTTCTGGTGAGAGGAAATGAACAAAAGATGAGAAGACGTCAAAAAGACAAGGTTTGCATATTATTCACATTTTAGCAAGAGATTATTTAATCAAAAAAAAATCATGGTAAAAGTATTGAACGAGCCAAAACCTTAGAAGGCACTATACGAGGAATTTTATCCCAAGCATATTTCTTTTCAGCCGATTCAAGATAAGCAGATAATTGGATATTAGATTTGAACAAATCTTTAATAAAACCCTGAAATTTTCAAAAAACATTATCTTAAAATTAAATGTAGAAAGATAAGGAATTATAAAGAAGCTTACATCAGAATAGCAACTTCCAGATCCCTCCATAAAAAGAATCTGGATATCGAAAGACGATGATATTCTGGTAAATGATCGGCCTATAATTAATGGCAAAAATCGCACTTTATAAAGAACATATTAAACGATTTTTAATTTTAAATTGGAAAAAACATGACAAAACCATCGTTATCTATTTAAAAAAAGATTATGAAAACAGCTTTCGATATGCTTTCCCTAATAGCTATGATAATAAGTAAAAAACCTGGCATCCAACCAACACGTTTTTGGCGGCCAAAAAATAATGTACCATCAATACGTGTTGTCTTCAACAAGCAAAGTCTCTCAACGATAGAATTTTCTGTGCTTATAGGAGCATTCAGGTCGAATTTCGGTTTAACAGATTTAATCGATATTCTGGGCTTTTTATGTTCTTTGATTTTAGCAATCAGCACTGATTCCTCCATAATTTGATCCAAATCTGTCTTATCTTGTAGTACTTAAAAATAGGAAAGCAGAAAGTACAATGAAAAAATTACGGAAAAAAATATTTTACTTCATAAAAGACCATTAACAAAATTAAAAAATAAAACACCAGCTGTTTTATCGCCATCAAAATCCATAATTTCATCGATTTTATGCGATTTATATGACAAATTATTATTTTCCATATCTTCTTCTAACGGAAAAATAGATGGAATTTCCACGCCCTCGCCATTCATTACTGAAACTTTTAAAGATATTCTATGGCTAAAAAATCTTTTAATTTATAAAGAGTTCACATTCTATGGCTAAAAAATCTTTTAATTTATAAAGAGTTCAATGGATTTTTTAACATTAATTTAAATTAAATAAATAAGCCAAAACCTAATATGACGACTAATTTAAATAAATTACTTTTAAATAATACCAGTGAAAAAATGGCTAAAAAATCTTTTAATTTACCCACCTCCCCCAAGTCCTCTCATAGTTCTCTCCAATGATGACTGCTTTAATGAAACGAAGTCACCGGTTCGTTCTTCTGCCTATCAAAAAATAACCATAAATTTTATTAAGGAATGAATACAATAACCATAAACTATAATATTAGAAAAATTAAAAAAAACAAGATAAAGATATATATCCAAACACCTCATCAAGAGAAAATTCATTTTTTGGCACAAATAAGGGACCGACCACCCCATTATCTGCATTAGCAAGTCGAGCTCTTTGCACCGAATACTGCCTTTTGCTATCTTTTAAAGCAAGATTTAGTTGTTCTGTAGTTGGTTGATCATACTCTTCATCAATATCAGCTATCTGTAAAATTTTTCCAGTTTTTTTAAAAAAATTCTCATTTCCCCACAAATAAACTAGGACTTCATCCTAGGATTTCATCCTTAATCAATAATTTGATAAATAATTTTCAGAGAAATATAATCAATTGAAAAATTAAATCCCACAAAAAAAATGAAAAATGCAAAGAAAAACAATAAAATACTCTTGTAGAATAAAAGAAAACATTGGTTATAGGTAAATTGATTATTTCTCGATTATATTATCTAATCAAATTATTAACTGAAATCACTAACCAATCCATATTTCGTGAAATGTGGTACTGTGAAAACCCATGTTCCTGTATCTGGTCTATAATCTTTAAATTCTGCTCCCATCTTTACTGAAGCTCGTTCCAATTTATTGCGAAATCCTAATTCTTCCAAACGAATCGGATCCTGTCAATAATAACAATTAGAAATAAAGCAACTAAAAATTTACTTTGACAAACCTTTGATTTACCTTTATGAACTCACTGGTTTTACGATTGCGTGGCCAAACTCGCTCCAAGCTAATTTCTGCAAAACGGTTTAGCTCCATATTAATAGCAGGTTTCTTGTCATCATCAGGATAAACTATAACCTCATTTTGTCGAAAGAATATGATCTGAAAATATCATATAATAATTCAGAATGAACGGATAATATAAATTAATATAAGAGAGAGCTTAAATAAAAATCTAAACCTCATCCAGATCAACATTAGATAATTTAAATGGCCCGGGCCAAAAAACACTTCCAAACGCCAATCGGCGAACAGTAAATCCCTGTTCGAGATGGCACACTCCACCATTACATTCAGCGTTTACAGCCAATTCTTCCAGTGATGGTTCACAGCTATAGTCGCATCTAAAAGAAAAAAATACAAAAGAAATGTAAAAAAAATAAGGAAAAAAATAAAAAAAATAATATTGCGAATAATATAAATTATATATGAATTTCTATAATCCATTCGATTCGATATTTTAAATTGAAGCCCATAAAATTCGAAACTTCAAACTGATAAAAAGTTAACCGTTCAAGCTTTATTTTAGCCGGATGATCACCAATTTTTTTTTCTTGAACATCTTTCCCATTATTTATATCAGTTCCTTCCTTATCGCTTCTAATTCGTATTTCTGACTGGAAAATGAAAAATCATAAATATAAAAAATATAAATATAAGAAATGAAAACTAAATCATCGAAAAACTACTACAGCAATCAAAGATAAGACTTTACAGGATTCATAAATATTAAAAGATCAAACAGAATACATAAAATTTTCTGCAATTTCTAAATTTCTAAATATATGAATTCATCAAAATTACATCTAAAATGGATCCATAAAAATTTTTGCGATTTCTACTAATTTTGACAATTATATGACTCATAAAAATTTAGCTACGATAGAACCTTACCACAATTAATGACGATTTGGCACCAGAACTGTTCTCTTGATTTGACGAACAAGTTGAACTTTCTTCATTATTATCAGCAAAAGTCACATGTGTTTTATGCGAATTTACTTCTTTTTGTATGATGGATGCGTTTATTTCATCGGGTGACTGCAAAAGGCGACTAGTTTAACTTATTGACCTCATTAAATAAACAGAAGAGAAACAAAAAATTAAATATTCAAACATTAAATCAATAACGAATATTCAAACATTAAATCAAATAAATGATTTTAAACACTACTCGAAAATTTCGAAAAAACTATAACTTACGGAAGGTGAAGTGCACGAAACCAACTGTGTTTCCAATGCCACTGTAGAAGCACTGGTACTTGGAGATAAAAAAGTTAATGAAGTGTTCCTATTTTCTTGCTATAAATCAAGAATAATGATGCATAATAATAATTTTAATGGTTCTTTTAACTCTAGCATGAAAAATATGAATAAATGGATAAATAATAAAATAATAAATTAAACCACTGATTTATGAAGCAAACTTAAATCAAGACGCTTGACATGAGTGGATTTAGTTTTCTGCATACCAAGTTCGTTACTTCTTTCCATTACATGAATATCAGTATTAGAAAGCACGTGATTTTGAATCACTGGGCTGAAAAAAAAATAAAAGAAAATTGGAGTCTTCATCAAAAGTAGAAACCGACTCTGAAAAATAATGAATTATTTAAGTATGAGAAAAAAAGATCAAAGACTAAAATTCCTAGAAAGGAAGCACACCTCGATATGCCCCCTTTATCAACAACTGGAGAATCTTTCTGTTTTACAGAAGGTGGTGTAAACATGGAGCGATACATAAAATTTCCCATACTATTCCGACTTCTACTGGAAGAAATTGAATCAACAATGATGGGCCTTGCAGCTGGTATTGAGCCTAGTGCAGTACCACTAGCAGTCACTTTCGTTTCTGCTTTCGATGAATCTGGCACTTTTGAAGCAAGAAATCGCATTTGCCTCTCGACGCTAAAACGATAAACCAAATTATATGTTCTCTATATGCAAAAAAGTACAATAAATGACAAAACTGAATATTTTTAAACAATGAAGCCAACAATTGAAAAAGAATCAAAAGAAAAAAAAACCTGGTCGGATTAGAAATTCTATGGTTTGTAGATTTATTGGCGGAAGAAAGCTTTATAACAGATGAGTCACCATATGTTAATTCTTTCACACGATTATCAAGCAGAGCATTCATTAATATTGTTTGATTTATATCAGTGCCCAAAAAAATTGGCGCTGCAGATGGAACAGCTGGTTGTGGAACTCCACCTATACCTCCAAAAGCTAAAATGAAGCAAAATATATTCACATATAGAATTCGTTTCGACCATTTAATAGCGGATAGACTCTGATAAGACCATCATTTAAAAAAAAGAAAACGAAATCTATAATAGTTCAAAAAGGTACCTGATTGTGTCGTTGACGTGCCAAATAGCGATGTCGTAGGTTTTGCAACACTGGAACCAAACAGTGATGTTGTTGAAGTAGGTTGTTGTGCACCAAACAAAGATCCTCCTAAACGAAAGTTCACCAAAGAAAGATCCAAGAGAAAATGAAAAAATTTTCTTGATTCTGTTAAGCAAAAAAATTTTTCAATTAAATCATGTCAATAGTCTAAGATTAACTTAAGATATCAGAAAACATTAAATCATGTCAATAGTCTAATCAATAGTCTAAGATTAACTTAAGATATCAGAAAACATTAAAACCTTGAGTGGAACCGAATAAGCCAGTCGTAGCTGGTTTCGATCCAAATAACCCACCACTTGTTGGCTGAGAGCCTATAAAAATATTTAAATAAATTAATTATTCAAAATTAAAACCAGAACTTAAACTTGTTCTCAAAATAAAGTGTCCTTGTTAAAAAAAGCCTGAATAATTTAAAAATCACTTACCGAAGGGAGTCGTTGTTGTAGAACCAAAACCACCAAAACCTGATGTAGCAGATTTTGAACCAAAAAGGCTAGTAGAAGGAGTGGATGATGGCTGACCGAAACCGCTGAAAGCTGTTGACGTCTGGGTTTGTCCAAAAGGTGAAGATTTCTAAAACTAACTATGAAAAATGACAACGCCAAAAAATGACCATGCGCGGAACAAAAAAATAAATATAATTATAAATAAATAAATAGAAATCATTAGAAGATGTTTATTAATTTCTAAAACCAAAAACAATAAATTATTACAACACTGGATCCAAAAGTAAATGGACTTGACTGGGTATTTGCATTACCAAATGATGATGTATTTCCGAATAAAGCATTTTGCGGAGCACCAATGCCCTATAAGTTCATTTCATATAATTTCGAAATAACTATGCTTTCATTCATTCCAGTAATATAATAACTATGCTTTCATTCATTCCAGTAATATAACATTCCAGTTAAACTTGTAAAATTGGAAAAAATAACAATTTAAAATTCGCAAAATAATTGTTGTCTTTTTTCAATTATCAGCAGCTATTAACGATACCAAAACCATAAAATCAAATGAAAAAGGAATGTACAGTCGTTGGTTTAGAACCAAATAATCCAGTGCCTTGCGTCTGCCCAAAAGTTGCATTATTTGTTGTTCCACCAAAAAGAGTACCCGTTGTCGGTTTCGAACCGAAAAGGGATGAAGTAGCTGGAGCTGTAGAGCCGAAAAGTGATGAGCTAGATGAAGTAGCACTTGGAAATCCTGTCGACGCTAAAATATTCCACTATCGTGATCAAAGCTTATAAGAAAATTAAAAAATGCTATATCCAAGCATCATTTTAAAACAAAACTTTTTGAAAGAGACAGATTATAAATTTATAGTACTTCCAAACATCGGCTTATTTTGGCCAAAAAGTGACGACTGTTGTGTCGTTGCAGTTGAGGAGCTAAAAAGGCCAGTGGATGCAGTTGGCTGTGTACTTTGACCAAAACCAAGATTTGAAGATTGAATGCCTTTTCGATTTGCCAGATAATCTTCACATCTTAATTCCTATAACAAAAACTGAATATAAAATTTCAAACTTCTTTTTTCTTATAAACTTATCAATTAATAGTAAGAAATACATAACAACCACATAACGTCAAAACAAAAAACAAAATTTTCATCGAAAATAACCTCCAAACTCTTATTTTCATATTGTTTCATTGAACTTATCACCATATGTTTTGTGCTAAGCGTCTGAGTAGTTCCATTTCTTAGCGTCGTATCTGTTGATGTTGGTGGATCAAATTTTATCGTTGTTCCAGTTTGAATAGATGCTAAATAAAAACTTCTATAATAAAATAGAATTAAAAAAATAATCGAGTGAAAATAGCAAGGCTGTAATAAAATTGAAATGATATTGAAATGATAACATACAACCAAATCCAGAACTGAATAAACCAGTGGACTGGGATGCTGGCTGGGCAGAACCAAAAAAAGATCCTCCAAAAGTAGAAGACTGCGTAGTTGCAGTGCCAAAGAAAGTTTTTCCTTGACCGAATAGTGAAGAAGTAGCAGCTGATGATGGCTGATTGCTGCCTAAAACAAAAATTGTATAAAAAATTATTGCAAAAAATATCCTATCCTATCTTATATCATGACGTTCATATCCTATATTATGACGTTTCAAAGGTGCATCCAAATTTAGTACAATCAAGCTAAAAACCTTTAGATTTTTTTCTTTATCGGCTCTACTAGTTACAAAGATAAGGCGTTTTAAAATTCCTATTTCTTCATCATTCCTAAGAATAAAAGAAGCCACTTCTTTTCCACCATTTAAATCCATACATCACCGGGCTGCCTACACATTCAAATTCTTTTCTACATCTAGATATTGATTGGTCCTTCTTGCTTTCGATGCTATCCATAAAAGATATCCGACGACTCCTGTGATGGCAACGAACACCATGGTCTAACTAACATTATCAATGCAGAATGCATGAGAGAAAGTGGGTTTAACCTTGTGAATTTTCATCTACTTAAAAAACACCTCAAATAGGAATATTTCAATATTTTCCACTCTCATTGGCTATGTTTCGCTGCTATATAATAAGATTTGCAAATAGACAAGGCTAGAATTTTCATTGTGATGATTTCGCGGTGGTTCCATTAAAATTTCGTCAAAAATGACATATTTTAGCTATCAGGATATTTGTGAATCTATGTTTCATTGTGCAGTTTGATGCACAAGAGCAGATCCAAGATATTCAAAAATCTGGCACCAATCGATGAATAATAGAAAAAGATATTTTCAATTCATTTTTGTTATGTAAGACAAAAGGATTTCATTGTATTTATATTAATTCCGATTTTTTGTTATAGTTTTTGATAAGGTACCTGACTTTTCCATTTCTCCATAACTATCAGTAAGAAAACATGTGATGCTATGGATATGCTATGATTTATATATATCTTTTTGAATGCCAGCAAATGTAAGTGCATAATCCAATCTATTGCATAACCTAGGAGAAAGGATATTCTTATATCGAAATATTTTTTAATTTTATAGACCTATGCCGACAAAACACTTCCATAAGTCAAATGATCTCTGGATCCCACTCTTTCACCGTCTAGAGCACCAATCAAATGAAGCAACAGCAAAATCGATAAAACGGTGGGTTGCCGATATTTGAAGCGATTTTACAACCCTCTTTATCTAGTTAAAATATTCGCGCCAATCTAAATCTAGCTGGTTATAGCATTCTTATAGTTGTCTCGTTCTGCAATAATTCAGCAGAAGGAAAACGAAAATTTTCTTAGACTAACTCCTTTGTCACATATATCTTATTTTTCTTGCAGACTGGAAGTAAGATAACTTTGCTCCAATCATTTGTCCTTTTAGTCCTTTCTCTCATTTCGGAGAGAATATCCGCTGAATGTGAACTGTGAAATACTGTAAACGTGAACATTAGCCATTTGAAGATTTGAAGCCACTTCAGCCCTAATATCACCTCCGGTTTTATTGGCTTTAAGCTTCTAAATGACGAAAATAATTTTCTGCTGTTATCGTCTTGCAGTTGCGAACATATGGCTAAACAAATCAGCTCGAGATATATCATGGATAAACATAATTTCAAAGAATTCTCAAAAAATCGAAATAGACATCACTATTATCTCGAATTATTTCAATGGCCATATTCCAAATTGAAGTTGCTCTATAATATTTTTTCATCTACTCCTGTCATCTCCATATAGGGCCATATCACTCCAATAAATTGTTTGTATTCCATCATGCCGCTTTTGCTGCAAGCCTTCGAAACGTCCAGTGGCCAGAATTACCTAACTTGCATGCTTCAACAGCCTTTTGGGCAATTGGAAAGTCGATCCTACTTTTATGGTTCAATTGTTGAAGTTTAAATTGATTGATGCTATAGATTCAACGATTACTGTGTAATTATTTATGCATTAAATCCCTAATTAACAAATATAATGTACTGTAATAGCATAAGAGTTGATACTCATAACCACTAAACCACTAAAACCATATAACCACTAAAACACAAAATATAAGCCTATCTCCTGCATGCTTTACTATAGAAAAAAATAATATTGAGAAATCTAGTGAAATATTTCCCGAATCTCCAGAAATTTACGGGAATTTTTAAATTTAAGAATAAAAAAGACATAAATACCAAAAAGTGAAGTGGGCTGACTGGAACCAAATACCGTTTTTTGGCCAAAAAGACCAGTTCCTTGTGAAGTTGAAGCTGCACCGAAGCCAACAGAAGGTTTGGATGTTGAAGACCCAAAAAGCGAATTGCCTGCTAAAATTTATAATTATAGAATAAAAATAAATTGTAATTTTAAAAATATAATGAAATTAACAAAACATAAAGTGAGTAATTCCGACGTAAAGATTAAAACTGAAGCCCTTAAAAAAAAAATACATATTTTCCAAGAACTGCAATCTTAAAAAAAGTACTTCCAAATGCCGATGAAGTAGGCGTACCTGAAAACGGCGATTTACCGAACATTTTATCGCCCGTATTACCTCAATCTGAAAATAATTACCCACTAAAATGCACAGAAAAAATAATCTTCAACAAATATTACGATAGAACAATGTGTGGATAGTGAGCAACTTTCTCCTAACTTTTTCTGACTGGACTCGCTCCACTAATTGCTAGGATTACATCCCTTCTTAGAAGGCATTCGAATGGTTGAATAAGCACAGGTGAGCCTTCAATTCTTCCCCCGCATTCTCAATGAAAAATTTAATACAGCTAGGAAACTGGGAGCAAAGCGATGCAACTTGAGCCCAGCGATTTCAGAAGTAACAAAAAAATGCAATGAACACCATCGAAACAGCTTTATTATGAACGAACTTTTAAAAAAATTTCAAAAAGCACCTTCCGGTTACTTGAAATTGATGTTATATGGCATTCGCATAGGATGCTGTCAGTTCCTTCCTTTTTTCTCGTAATTCCCATTTTGCCACGGCGAACTATGTATTTGCTATTTTAACCACCCCTCATAAATCTCATAAATCTCGTTGCTTCCTCTCCTCTCCGATTAATAACAAGCAAAGTCGCTTACAGCACTCTCTGCAACCGAAAGGCATAAAGAGAAATATTTCTACTTTGGCTAAATCCCATTCTGACGAAGCATCTCATAAGAATTATTACTGCGAACAATCACATGAACTAAGGCAGAAATTGGAACAATAATAGCCACGCAAGCCACTTACACTTCTTCTAACTATTCGTTAACAAAACTTTAGACTTGGCGTAACCAACAATTTTCATCCAAACAACTGCTGAAGCGATGATTTCAATGAGCAGAAAATATCAAATATATTCTCGACCAACATCAACGACGGAGACCCTTGGCCTTTGCCTACGGCCGGCCAAGCCAAGAACACTTCGCGCAACAACCATAAAAGTTAAAAATATGTAATGAAACTAAATGGGATTGATTAGATATGCGACCATTGAGACAGCGCCCTTAAAGAAATTTGAAAACATTTCTTTTCGATACCCGACTTTCAACTTTTAACAGCTAAGTATTAATGTGAATTGAGAGCTTAGTGGGAGGATGTTATTCGGGAGACCGCGAAGAGTACGGAGCGGAGTGCGTATTGGCTAATCGAGAGGCCCGTATGTAAGCGTTCGGTGGTGCCATCGGCATGTGTCAGCGCAGAGCAACGCGCACTCCGGCTAGGCCGAATGCTACGTTCTTCGTTAGGCGTCGCATTGATTCATACTTCGCTAAGCCTTGTGGACGTTATAAGCATGGAGCCAAGTGGGAATCCGCGCTCGGTCGAGAAAGAAGTGGCCTCACCTAACGTTAGCTTCGGCTAAACTCTTCCCATCCCAATAACCATTGAAACGCTTTCAACTATAAATACAATTTTAAAGAATTGCTTCACTTAATCGCAACAACAGTCGATTTATATTTATGATTTTTTAATCGCGAAATTTGAATTGAATTAATTTTAAGGAAACTATAAAACATAAAAAATTTCGTTTTTCGGGTAATTTTTTGTATTTTTTGATATTTTGCTTGTCCTTTAATTTTATTAGAACAACTTTGCCTTAAAATTTTATCGCCGAAACAATAGATGGGATTTGATTTCTCCTATTGAATCTTAGATTTACGTGGTTGTAGGATGAATGAATTTCGCCAAAACTGGAAAAATTTAAACATTCGAGGAGTAAAATTTAAAAACGAAGTTCCATAAAAATGATTGAATGGTTTCCTTCCTCTATAAGCGAGCGCGCCACATGAGTTGTTAGGTTGGTTTCGACAGCGAGTTTCCTCATCTGTTCCCGTTACTTTCTAATATTTCTCGTTTGCTACTTACTGCCACATCACTGTCAGCGAAGTGATACTCAGCAAAGTGTGATTGCATTTTGTCGCCGAATGGCGAAGGAACCCATAACTTTGGGCGCGCCATCCACACTGCCTCTTTCTTCTCGGTGAAAGCATCAAAGAAGCTGAAAGGGGAATGTGGAAAGTAAAGGAAGGAAGAAAACTCTGTAAACGGAGAATCATGGCGCGGAGTGGGAAGGTAAGAGCAAAAGAAAGGGAAAGGAAAAGGAAATGGAAAAAAGGAAGGTAAGGGAACAAAGAAGTTGTGCGACATCGGAAAGGGGCTTTTTTGCATACGTCATAAGTAATGTTAGTAATATTTCCAACTTTCACTTGTATTTTCATTGACTTCGTAGATTTTCAGTGTAGTATAGCTATACCTTATTTCTAAAAATCCGAACGGAGGATCCACATGGATTAACCGTCAGAAATATTTTATTGTTGTATCGTATCGATATTATATTATTCAGCAATAATTTACACTTCAGTCAGTTTTTAATATTATTTGTTTTCCTTATCGTATTTTATAGTTATCCGGTTTTTAGCACTTAGTATTCCCTGTTTTCCACTTCTGATGACGGAACTACTCTCGTCAAAATAGAGGAAAGAATCTACGAATTCAAAATGCTTCTCTTTTTTACCTGGCAGATAGAATTTCACATGATTGCACCCTCTTTCGTTCGAATACTACCT